TCTCTCTCTCTCTCTCTCTCTCTCTCTCTCTCTCTCTCTCTCTCTCTCTCACACTCACTCACTCACTCACTCACTCACTCACTCACTCACTCACTCACTCACACACACACACACACACACCTTCGTTAAGCACACGTGCATCCGTCGCTTGCAAGAATACCCCCTCAAATCGCTTTCGTACGTTGAACACCGCTTTTTGCAGTTTTTCGTAGTTTTTGCCCTGGGTTTCGTCCATGCCAGTTGTGACATGTTTGTTGTTCCTTCGTGGAACTAGTCCCTCCCCCGCTTCTTGCAACACGAGCATGTATGAAAGCGGGGTTGCCTGACCCGAAGGTCCGAAGTCTCCGAACCATTAGCCCAACATGATATGACATCAGCGCGACTCTCGAGGCTCCGCGAGCCCCAAGACGAACACCGCGGTGCACTTCAAGAGTGTTATTGGAGGGACGGGTGCTCTGCAAGCTCAGCGCCCGAAAGAGCAGTCAATTCGCCTGCCTCTCTGCTGTATCGCTTCGGTCGATGATACCAACATCCTCCTGGCTTTGCTTGACAATGCCACGCTAATTTGAAGGGTGAAGCTGCTGCTTTCCGTCGAGTCCTTGAGTACGCCCCACTTCACTCGCGAACCCTCGGCTGTGCTGAAGAGATCCGGCTGCAGGCCTACACGAGATCGGATGTGTTGCACCTAACTCCAGACCCCTCAAGATCAGGAAACGGTTCGTCCGAAAGTTGGACTTACAGAAACATGATATTTATTCTCCAGGGCGTTGTCCCCCCGGCCTCCATCTGTGATGCGCAAGGGAGGCCCGGCGGAAAAGGCCTGGTTCGCGGAACGAGCTGCCAATCACCCACACACACAAACATACACAACCATGTATGCACACATCCACGCATCCACCCTTCTCTGCACCCACGCCGTCCCACCTTCGCTATTGGGTCGGAGAAGTCGCGGCTTGGCACGTCGTCCTCTTCCAGTAATGACGAACAGAGCACACTGCCGCTGAGTCTCCAAACATGTGCCGCGGGAATCCGCACAGAAACTCCAATTTCCTCATGCACACACAGACACACACATACAAATTTTCGTCAGGTGGCAAGAAATGACAGAAGCTGCACGCCACTCTGCAATGCAAGGATTTACAAAGGACCAGACCCTAGGTGAAAGTGCAAAGGACCCTCTTACCTACTCCTAGATCGTGCCATTCTGGGCAGATGCCTAGCTTCTCAGTGTGCCATGCCAGCAGGTGTGCACAAGGCCAGTGAATGCAATGAATTCATGTGCCTCTGTCGTTGCCTTCCGCTGCACGCGGAAACCGCGGGTGACGAAAAGTGATGTGCTTTGCCAGAAGCCAAGGTACGCAAACGATGCGAGCAAAGCCTGAAGCATGACTGTTCTCTCTAAAGTGGATGCATGACATGCTCCCTTCGCATCATTGGTTTTCCAAGAACTTTCTACTCTGTTTGCGATCCATGGTTGTACATGCAGTCCCTGCAAGGCAAAGGCTCTCAAAGCTTTGGGGGTGTCACAAGCAGGGTTCAGGAGGCCTGGAACACGTGCTGTCGTCGGCAGCGCGACGCGGCGCGTACCATCGCGAAGAGTGTGAACAGAAGGGAGACTGGATTAGTCCAAGTTGCTTGTCTGTACGCTGGCCTGCTTGTATTGCTGAAAGGAATGCAGTAACACATTTGCTACGTTCGTTCAGTGGACATCTATCTTAAAGTACCATGTGAGATGCGCCTTGCTGTCGAGCCAAATGCTCGATGTCAAAGTCTGAGTGCAGTTTGTCTATGAAGGGAGCACAAGCTCGCGGAACTTGAAAACAAGACAAATGAAAACATCTCCTTGCCTAATCAAGTATGTCGGCGAGTTGTATTATCTCGGGTTTCCCATAAGGAATGCATAGAATGGGAGGATCATTAACTGTGGGTTCATCAGACCTAAAACTCAAGGCCTCAAATGCGTCTGCCGACCCATACCCTCGTCTTGATTCACTTTCCTGGCTGCTTGGCCAATGGCATTATCCCAACCCGACGGACCATAAGTGTCTGAGTGTGGGGCTGCTCACTGCGACGTTGACTGGCAACGCCCCAAATTCTCATCCATTGGACGAATTCACGACAAGCAGATGCTTGCCAAGGAATCAAGATGTCGTTACAGCTTGCATAGCGTTTCTCGGGTCTAGACCGAGGGCAGGTGAAAACCGACGAGGCAGCTGTCAAAGTGTTTCCCAAAGAACGAGACAGCGAAGTCCTGACCATCTGCTGAGGCATGCTACTCACATAGCTGAGGTTTGAGCAAAGAGGGCCTGCCAACATGCTCCAAGAACGGTCTTGCAGCCTGCGATTCTCAAGAGAGCAGAATAACACACTTCGATGAGCTGTCGTCAGCAGGGTTTCTGCATGTCGTGATCAGCTAGCAGACCTCTGCACCATCGGCCTTTCTTTCGCACCGAGTTCAGGTCAGCACTCAGCTACATCATGAAGATGTTGCTGAAATGAATCGAAGCGAACCTGCCGAGGGCCGCGGTGCAAAGCAACTGCACGTGCCGACAATGCTTGTGGCTTCGTGCCCGATGTAGGATCACGTGGCTTTTCCCAGCCCATTGGGCAGTCCATGATGTGGCAAACATGCTTGTTAGGTGCCTCCATCTGAAGCTTAGTCTGAAGGCAATGTTCGATGCTGCCTGACACCTTGACTGGACATGAAGCGATCTGTACCTGGCGCACTCGTCTTGACAGCGCGACAGGGATGTGCTGGTCCCGTCCAGGAGCAAGTAAAACTCCCGGTCGCACCACCTCACATCGTGGATTCTTGACATTCCCGACGCGGACTTATCCCGACACATTCACTACTCAACTGATTAGCTTAACACACAAAAACAACACAGATGCGCCAAAGCAAATGTCGCTGGTTCAACACTATCGACCATTAAATGTATTCCGGAACAGGCAGGGAAGGACCTGGTAACCGGAAGACTAAGCCAAACGGCCCAATTGACAAAGATATCATGCACCATCCGCATCGGCCGGACCCATCCTGATCTTGTATGCGATACGTATATATTCGTGCCCGATACCTTTAGGGTCTATTTAACCACGGATTTATATCTTCAATACTAAATGCCTTGCTAAATGCAGCACCAACACATAGATCATAGTACAGCAACACAACCCGAAAAGTTTCAGACCTACTGTCATATATTTTTTAAATATAAATTTACATGCCCTTCAGAAATTCATTGTGGAGAATACCATTTATACTTTATGAATGAAATATTTCGAAGCTAAGCAATAATCTAAGTACAAAGTCTGTACACAGTGTGATATAACAGGACAATGTCGGATTTGCAGACAGACTGGAAGAATAATGCATCATTCAGCCTGCATACATGATGTCTCCCTCATGATGCATCTTCTTGCTGCACTTGTCCTTGCGTACAACTCCATTCCAACTTGGGATGCCAGTCGTGGCTTATACGGAATAGAATTTTGATGTGGAGAATGCCATTCATACTTGAGACGTGGAATATCCTGTATGACAAGCATCGCTAGACTGACTGTCAAACAAATACGATGCATAATGTAACAAGCCCATGTCGAATTTCCAGACACACTGAAAAAGTGATGTTTCACATGGCATGCTTGCAGGCTGCTTGCATCATCCTGCATGTTAATCCGATACGTGTCATTGCCTAGCTCTTGCACAACTCGATCTGTAGTAAGCGATGACTTGTATGTGACGTCGACATACTTCTGTGTCTGGATTTGTCTACCGATAATTATGTCCAATGTACTCGACACGTCATCAGGCAGTTAGGTTGTCACCATACTGCGCATGCTCCGTGTCGAATTATATAATATAAGCATGCAGAGAACATAGCTTTATCTTTGTTGTAGTGATCGGAAGTATGATTCGACTGCATGTTACAATCGAACGCATTGTGTTTCGTGTATTGGCACAGCAATGTGATCTATACTGTTATGTGTGTAACATCAAGTCCGATCAATCGTCCTGGTCCATCAGAAGATGCTGGAACTTTGGCGGAAGTATGCGCGATGTCCTGCATGCATAGATGACACATGAGCACACACTCACACGTCTGCTTCATGATGACATGTCGCTACTGAGTCACTTGATTTCATGTTATTGCATTTCGCATCACAGGATGATTATTACTGGTGTCGTTGCGCCTTCACACCTGCACTTCGCAGTGTGTGGATCCGTTTTGCGGACAGGGGCGTCGCACGCTTCTTCATGCTACGTTGGCCTTGCCTCTTGGAGGCTGGCTTTTTTAGCACGTGTTGCCGAACCAGGCTAGCTTCATGCTCTCTGGCGCATGATAAAGTCAGCGTAGCCTTCCTGGGAATGGTGTCGGACAACTGTTCAGCACACCATGCCGCCCAGTCGTCCTCATTCCATAGTGACTTGTGCAGCGATCTGCTTAGCAGCATGCTCGCACTCACCACATGGGATAAAGGATACTGGATGGAAAGATAGTGCAACAGTAACTTAATATAGCTGAAGTATTTCAACTTCATTGCGAAGGTCGAACGATGCATCGCATTGATGCTTCGCGACCAAGAATTGATTTCTGCGTGCAGCGCCTCGTTACTCGATGTTCCGCTTGGCAGGAACCATCCGTAAGATGGCTGAAGAGCATGCCTGACACGCAAATTGTTCATTAACCATTCCAGCCGGTCGGGTGCACAAGCAGACCAGAGGATCTTACTGACCTGCTTGTTGGCCCCAGCAATTTTCCTGCTGACCTCCACTGGATATCTTCGACACAAAGCGGCAATAGACTTAATGAGCTCTAAGCGATCAGTGAATGGAGCATCGATGTCGAGTCCGTCGAGGATGCTGTTGCACTCTGTCAGGTTCATGGACGAATTGGAGATCATGTCTCGGTACTTCATCTCCGATTCTCCCAGTGGTCGAGCGTTGGTGCCATCATAGAATGCTCCCCAGTAATCCTGGCCCAGATCAACGTCTATCGAGATGCACTTCCTAAGGATCCGACGTAGTTGTTTGGATCCGGGATTTTTTTTGTTCCAGGGTGGGGGAAGGAGAATGGGAAGTATGGAGAGGGGGGGGGGTGAGCTGGGAGTGTGGGCAGAGTGGGGGGGGTGGGGGTGGTGGTGGAATGGGGAGAGGAGGACGGGAGAAGAGGGGGTGGGGTGGAGAGTTTGGGGTTGGGGGGAGGGACAGGGCGGTGAGATGGAGGGGGATTGGGTAGCGGGGGGAGAGAGGGACGGAGTGGGGAGGGGGCGGGGGCTGAGGGAGTGCAGGGGTTGAGAACCCCAGGATTTCAATAAATAATTGAAATAATTGAAATAGGGCCGAGATCAATTATTTCAATTCTTGGGTGGCCCAAATAATTGAAATAATTGAAATCCTGTGGCTAGGTGGGCCTAGGCCACCGAACCCCAGGATTTCAATAATTGAAATAATTGAAATGGTGCCGATTTCAATTATTTTAATTCTTGGGTGGCCCAAATAATTGAAATCGGCCGGATTTC